TTTTTTCAAAGGTCGTCGTGCGTTAGAATTAATTCTTGCGGATTGGTCTGCTGTTAAATCTATGTTATTATGTGGTTGTCCTGATGATTTAGATTTCAATCAAAATAAACAAACAGCATCTTCTATTAAATTATCAACTCCACCAATAATATCAACATATCCTAATGAAAATTTATTTTCCTTAGATGAACAACAACAAACAAGTCAATTAGATCGTTTTACTTATTTTCTTCTTGTTAAATGTTATTCAATTAAACAAACAAATGATCTTCTTGATATATTATTAAATACTTTAATACGTGAAATATCAAATCCTATTCATCATGATATAGCTCATTATATTACTTCACGTTTTATTCGTAGTGTTATTCGTTTATTTATTATTTTAAGTCTTCAAATATCATCCGATAAATCTTCAACAACAATTAAACGTACTACAACAAATTCAAGTTTATCATCATCATCATCATCGTCAATACTTAATGGACCGCAATTAATTCTCTATCAATGTAAACGTATATTTCAAACATTAACAAATATATCTATTGAGGCACTTGTACATATGGCAGATTTATTATTTGCACCTGTTCGTCATGGTATTGCAAAACCTATTGCTATGTTTAGTCTTTTATCAACACACACAGATATATTACAAAGTCTTGAAGAAATATTTAATATTGATTCGGAACATTCTCGTGCTTATCAACGTTCATCATCGACTACTACAGAAACTAGTATAAAATCAAATTTAGTTGATAATGATAATATGCTAGCAAATACAAATAATGATTCAATTGAAGATGATGATAATAATTCGGATACACAATCACAACATGAAATAATTCATACGAATATCAATGAACGACAAATCATACATGAAAATCTTGCAACAAGTTTAAGTGATAATGAAAGTGAAATGGAACTGGAATTACTTGCTGAATCGGATAGTGATAATGAAAGTAATCATAGTGCATTAAATTTAAATATACATCGAACATCAGCTATAGGTGGAAGTGAAAATATGGCGTTATTTTCTGATGATGATAATTCGGAATCAGATGATGCAGATAGTGTTCGAAGTGAAAGTGTTTTAGGTGAAGGTGATGATATAAGTCAATCAGAACCAATGATATTTGAAGATACACGAGATGCTTTAACTAATACTGCAACAATATCATCATCGACAACAGCTAATAATGGAACTATAACATCATCTTCAAATAATAATTCAATAGGATCAAATATACAAACAGCAAATAATCCATTGAATATATCACGATTAACATCGAGAAATGCTATTACTGGTTTGTATAAACTTTCTGATCTGTTTGAAATTATTTACTTTATGAGAAATTTTATTTTTTTCTAGGTTCTTTATTTGCTGATAGTCATTCTCGACGTCAAGTAGTTCCTGCTACACCTTTAACGCCAAATTTAAGTCATTCAATATCTTCTCAACAACAAACAAATACGATTTCAGTAAATACAACAAATTCTTTATTAGCAAGAGCTTTTGCTATTCTTATTCGACAAATAACTGATTTACTTATTCGATGGCCAACTATATTATCCGATTCATCTTCACCGCATGATATGCTAACAATGAACGAACAAAATTCTATCGAAACGATACAAGTAATAATTAAGACTGAAAATTATCTTATTCGATTTTGTTGTTTGTTTTTCAGAATAAAATTGAACAATGTTTATTACCAAGTTGGCAATGGTTTGCAACTGTAATGGATTCATTTGAATCACAATTACGTTTTGGTATGACGTTAAGTAATTTAACACATAATGAAAATGATACAACATGTCATGGTAATCGTTTTCTTAAAAATCTTATTGATCGTGCACAAATTGAAACAAAGAAAAAACCAGCACCAACTACAACAACAACAAATCGTATAAATAATATACCAATAAATGGTAAAGATCTTTTATTTTCGCTAATCATACATTTTATTATTGATTTAGATAAACCTGTTAATAATCGTCTTGATTTTCTTAATTATTCATTATCATTAATGCGTTCCACACATGAACATGGTGATCAAGAACCATTAATTGATGTTTTATCATATAAACATCTTGCTTATTTACTTGATGGATTTATTTATTATTTTCGTGAAAATGGTTTAAATGAAAATAAACAAACAAATAAATCTTTAATAACAAATTCAAAAGAAGCTAATAATGAAAACGACACAATAACATCAAAGAATTCATTTTTTCAACGTTCATCATCAACATTATGTCTTAGTTCATTAGGACCTGATGCATTTCAAATATCTATTGATGATTCATTACCATTAGCATGTCGTCCACAATTATTACAACCTGTTTGTCGAAAAGAAGATCTATTTGGAAGATTTCTATATGATCAAACAGCAATGAAATATTCTCAAATACCATCACAATTAAGTTTAACCAATCGTGAACATTCAATACCAGATTTTTTACAACCAAATTATTTAAATTTAATTAATCAAACGAATAAAAGTAAAACTAATGAAATATTTTTATTATTATTATTAATTATTTTATTACTAGATATTCAAGAAAAAACAAATACGAAAACAAGAGATGATGATCGTAAGTTCATTTGCAGTAGGACTCTATCGAGATACATTTAGGGATGTGAAGAATCAGTTTACTGACCATCGACTTCCACTGACACTGAAGATATTGTTGTAAATACTAAGGTTTAGCACAAAAATATTTTAGCTAACAGTAGCACAGTGACCACTGACATTGACACTTCAGTGCTCAGTGAACGCTGACACCAATCTTTCGGTGACACCGTGATCACTGAGACTGATGTTTTCAGCGTCCGTTTTTCAGTATTTTCACTGATACTGTACATCCCCATTATAAACTAATAAAAATAAAGAATCTTTTATCTGCACGATGACTACTGAATTTGACCATAAAGACTTTTGAGAAGATAGTTTAGGTACTAGATTTATTTTGTAAGTTTTAAACTCTATAGACTCTATTGTAAATATTCAATTTCTCACAATAAACATACCATTCATGAGATTATTCTCATTTGAAAACTGTTTATTCGATCTATAATATGTAAATTATTTTTTTTGTCAAGGTATGGCTGTTGATGTGCTACTTGATTTAAGTGCTGGTTTAACTGCATCAAATAAATCTTCTACAAAGTATGTGATTTTTATGTTTTGTATATATTTTATATGGATTATTTTTTAGACAATCAATATTACATTCAATTGTTCATAATGGTTCCTATGAATATTTGTTAGCACGATGGAAAATTTCAATAGAATTATTTGTTAAATTATTTTTGGATGATGTTGGTAGCGAACCAGGTTCAATAATTAATGAATCAAGTGGATTTTCTGCACGTGAACAACGTTTTCGTCATGATATGGAAAGACTTAAAAATATACATCAAAAAGATATTCGTTTTGAATCGGTAAAAAAATAATTTGATAAAATTTAATGTATATAAAAATAATTTCTAGATGGAACGTGATCGAATATTATTAATACAAAAAACATTTCGAACACTTAATACATATTATTATCGTAATCAAAATATAAATTCATCGTCATCTATACCACCATTAGCTGTACAACGTGTTAAAGTTACATTTAAAGATGAACCTGGAGAAGGAAGTGGTGTAGCAAGAAGTTTCTATGCATCAATTATTGAAGTAAGATATATATTGAACTGGAAAACTAATATGTTTTTTTTATTAATCATTTAGGCTATTTTATCTGAAGAAAAATTGCCTGTACTCGAATTAGGTGCTTATGGTGTGTCATCTGCATCTCAATCTTCATCTGGTTCTTCTCATTCTCATCGACATTCACGTTCATCTCGTGATCGACGTACAGCATTAGCTTCATATTTACGTAGTGATCGACGTTCAACAGCAATGCTTCTATCATCTGAAGCACGACCATTCAAATTAAATCTACCATCATCATTAACAGATACAACAAGTAATAATTCCGATTTATCATCATCTTCATCGTCGATAATTGAACATTGGACACCAAGTAAAATAAAAATTGGACTTAATATATATCCAAAAATTGCAGCTATTCAACCATATCATGTTGAAAAAATTACTGGAATGTTATTAGAAGGTTTACCAACACCACAATTACAACGCATGATGAATATTGAAGAAGATTTAAAAATTAAAATTGATGAAGCTATGAATATTTTAACAGCACAAAATATACGTGAAACACAACAAAATGACTTATCAACAGCGCCACCACCACCACCACCGACAACAAATGAACGTTTAGTAAATAATAAACAATTAAATGAATTTACACCATTATTTTGGCAACCGGATAAAAAAGGTGTTTATGCATTAAGACCAGGAAAACCTACACCAGAACGTTTAACTGCATATCGAAATGTTGGAAGGTAAATAAGAGAGAAAAAAAGTTTTTTTTTCTTTTTGATAATTTTTGTTTTTATGTATTTAGATTAATTGGTTTATGTTTATTACAAAATGAACTTTTTCCATTACCATTATGTCGTCATGTTATAAAATATATTTTAAATCGACAAATACGTTGGCATGATTTAGCATTTTTTGATTCAACTATGTATGAAAATTTACGTCGAACAGCATTTGATGCTGAAAAAAATGGAGCTAAATATATTGATGATTTACATTTAGCATTTTCAATGACTGTTACAGAAAAAGAAGTAAGTCAAATGATTTAAAAAAATATAGGTGGAGGGACTTTTCAGTAGTAAAAAAACGTAACTATAGTCTATAGGTGATATTTTACACCAATCGAAAATATTTTCGTTACAGTTGCTACTATGTATGTTTAATACGAGTCAATAGAATGATTAGATCATAAAAAAATAGTTTAAAATTTAATGTATACGATGCGAAAAATGAAAGATATGATCGAATATAGAAATATGATATATGAAGTTTCGTTGATTTTGAGGAGAATGAAGTTTGTCCCATAGAAATCATTTGGAAAATTGATTGAAAAATCAGACATACGATTCGAGATTTAAAGTAAAGTCCTTCACGAATAAATAGAAATCGATGAATTGCAAGAATCGAACAGACTAGCGAAAATTTCTTATTAACAATCATTTAGATTAAGAATCTGATGAAAAATGTTCACTTCTATAAATTTTTTATTAATATCTATTATAGGGTGGTGAAACTTATGATTTAATTCGTGATGGTTCATCAAAAGATGTTACTTATTCGAATTTATACGAATTTATTAAACGTTATGCTGAATTTCGGATGGTTCATCTTGTTGAACAATCTCTTCAAGTAATTTAATTTTAGTATTTTAATATAAATTAATCCTAATCTTTTATTTTTTTTGTAGCATTTACGTTTAGGTGTATTCGATGTTTTACCTTCTAATTCACTTGATTATTTAAGTCCAGAAGATTTTCGTTTACTTCTTAATGGTACAAGTAATATTAATGTAACAACATTAATGACATATACAACATTTAATGATGAAAGTGGTATGTTAATTATTGAATAGAGAAAATAAACTTTATCCATATTTTTTATTCATTAGGTGAAACAAGTGAGCGTATAAACCAGTTTAAAAAATGGTTTTGGTCAGTTTTAGAAAAATTTAATTCAGTTGAACGACAAGATTTAGTAAGAATAAATTAAAGAAAATTATAAATAAAACTTTTATTTTTTTCTCAATAAAAATAGATTTATTTTTGGACGGGTAGTCCAGCATTACCTGCATCAGAAGCTGGCTTTCAACCACAACCATCTGTTACTATTCGACCAGCTGACGATCAACATTTACCAACAGCAAATACATGTATTAGTCGTTTATATGTTCCATTATATTCGTCAAAGACGATATTAAAATCAAAATTACAGTATGCAATAAAAACAAAAATGTTTGGTTTTGTATAAAACTAAAAAAAAAAGAAAATAAATAAATAAATAAACGAATGAATGACAGTATTTATTATTATTTTTTTTGCTCTCTGTATACGCGCGCTGTTATGTGTCTTGTTTCTATTTATTACCGTATGTATGTTGTAAAACAATAATGAACATGCATACATTAAATTGTTATTTTGTTTATTCTTATGATATTTGAAAAAGATAAACTTTGTTTCAATTTGTAGATATGACAGGTTTAGATAATATTAAACGAATTATTGTTGTTTTATCCGGCAAAGGTGGAGTTGGTTCGTATGAAAATTTTGCTTAATTTTTTTATTATTCTTGAATTTTTGTAGGTAAATCAACAGTAGCAACCGAACTTGCTTTATCACTTTATACAAATGGTAATAATGTTGGTCTATTAGATGTTGATCTATGTGGACCATCAATTCCGAGAATGTTTGGTGTAGATAAAAATTCTAAATCAAGTACTGTTTATGAAACACCCGAAGGCATGACACCAATTGAAATATTCTCGTCAGCGAATGAAAAATCAAAATTTAAATTAATGTCAATGGCATTATTATTAGACGATATAAATGATGCTATTATTTGGCGTGGACCAAGAAAAATGGCTATGATTCAACGTTTATTAACCGGTGTTAAATGGGGTGAACTTGATTATCTTATCATCGATACACCACCCGGTACATCCGATGAACATATAACAGTTATGAATGTTCTTAAACAACATGAACATGCAAAAGATTTTTTACGTACAATTCTTGTAACAACACCGCAAATGTTATCAATAAATGATGTTCGACGTGAAATAACATTTTGTCAAAAAACATCGTTTCATATTATTGGTTTAATTGAGAATATGAGTGGTTATGTATGTCCACATTGTAGTGAATGTACAAATATATTTGCTCAAGGTGGTGGACATTTATTGGCTGAGCAATATTCGATTCCATTTTTAGGTCAATTACCAATTGATCATGAATTAAATAAAATACTTGATCAAGGTATTCAACAGGTTGAAAATGGTTTACAAAAAATTAATGAAACTGAAGCAATGAAATTGTTTAAAAATATACTTAATGAAATTCTTGATCATTGGCAATAATTTTATTTTTATTTTCATGTGATTTGTTTTTCTTTTCTAGATTATTAATAATAATGTTAAATAATTATGATTTACCTTATCGTATTATTGATAGTTTAAGTAAGAAGAAAGAAAATTTTTTTTTTATAAAGTTTTTATTTTATTTTCTTATAATAGAACAAACGAATTCAAATGATGAAGAAGACTATGACAATTGTTTTACTTATTTAACATATGATTCCAAAGATAAAAATAAAACAAAATATGTTTTAAAAATATTTGATCTGGAAAAAATGACAAATCTTAGTGAATTTATTGTATGTTGAAAGAATAAAAAAAATTAGTAGACTATTTTTTTTCTCGTTTTTCTAGAAAGATATTCTATGGTATAAACAATTAAATCATTATAATTTAATGTCACTCAGAGATTGTTTTCTTATCGATACAAAACTTCATCTTATTAAACCTTATGCATCATTTGGTAAATATAAATATAATTTTTTTAATATAGCATAACTGATGTAAGACAAATTGTTCTTTACTCTTATCTTTCAAAAGCTATACGGAAGTACTGTCTTACGAGGAAACCTCTCTAGATGATAAAACATTTCGAGCTCTGGCTAATTTTTGCCTTGTAGATCCTCGTAAGTAGCGAAATATCGCGAGTTGATTCGTACCCTTGTTGCTTTGCAAGGGGAGGTATGACTTATACCTCCTTCGTAAAACAACAAGGGTAGGAATCAACTTGAGATGTTTCACTACTCACTAGAGCCTACAAGATAACGAGTTCGAAAGGTTTTTATCATCCCGAGAGATTCCCTTGTTAGATTAAATCTAGGGATGCGCAGCTTCAGTAAACCGTGCATCGACAGTAAGGCACCGCAGCACTGACACCGGGTTCAGTGAACCACGTGTCAGTGCTACGGTGCGTCACTGTCGGTGCTGACCGTGACAGTTTTTCAGTATTTGCGCATCCCTAATTAAATCTAAAAAATGAATAAGCTTGATTTTTATTTTATTAAGGTTCTTGTGCTGATCTGTTATCTGTTCATCCATTTGGTATACGTGAACAACTAATTGCTCACATTATGTGGCAACTCTTACAAGCTCTTCGTTATTTACAAGATAGACACATAATGCATCGGTAAATCGACATAGATGTATCTGTTTATTTTTTATAAATAATATTTTTTGTGAATTTTTTTAGTGGAATTTCTTCAAAAAATATATATATTTGTGATAATGGACGTGTTTTATTAGATAATTTTTCTCATTGTATATCAATGATATCACCATTTGATGGGAAATTACGACGTCAAATATATGATTATACAGATAGTCTCAAAGATGAAATATTATATTTAGCACCAGAGATAATTTATCAAGTAAGTTTAGAATTCTTTTTAATATATAAAAAAAAATTGATTATTTTATTTTCTATTTATTTAGAACGCTGATGGATATAATTTCAAAAGCGATGTTTATAGTTTAGGTACTGTTGCATGTGAACTTGCTAATGGAAGTAATACTTATATTGATATGCCTTTTGGAAGTTTAAGTGTAAGTGAAAAATGATATATATTTCCGCAAATAAATTCAGTTAATTATAGTTGCACGAGTGTATGGATAGAAGTAAGGGTAAATTCATCCACATGCTCGTGCGCATCTTTCGGGATCTCCTTATTTAAATATGAATCCGATGAAAAAGTTATCTGAGCAGTTATGTTAACTATGATTTGTTTAGATGTTATATGCTAAAATTCAAGGTTCAGAACCAATTTTACTTGATCAAACACAATTAACAGATGAAAGTATGTCATAGATATATAATTTAATTGTAAAATAATTCATTTTTTGTTATATTTAATATAGTGATTGCACTTAGTGATGATAATTCCAGTTCATATGTTGAAGAAATTAAAAGACGACGATATACCAAAGAATTCCATTCATTTGTTAAAAATTGTGTATCTACATCACTTGAATCTCGGTAAGAAGAATAAATAAAATAGATTGAATATTTATCTATTTATTTAAGACATTCGGTTGATGAATTAATAATGCATCCATTTGTCAAACATCCTAAAAAAATCAGTCATGATTCTCAACATCTTGCTGATGATATGGCTAAAATTCTTGGATTTTATAAAGCAAAAGAATTAAATAATACAGAAGCAAATATCGAACAAATATTTGGTAATAAAAAACAAAAACATAGAAAATTCAAATTAATTAATTAATTTATTTTTTATTTTTCTAGATAATTCCAATAAGAAATATAATAGTATTAATTTATCATGGGAATTTTAATAGGATTATTTCGTAGTTTTAAATAAATAGTAAAATGCATGTTCCTCTAAAGTTTATTTCGTCTTTTCTGTTATTGTATGTTTACTTCAACAAAATTGTAGAAAAATTAGTTGTTTAATGTATTGCTTTTTACTATTTGAATATAGATATATAAATATATGATGATGATGATGTTGATGATTTGTATTTTAGATTTAAGAATATTTTTATAATGGCAACATTATTAAATGTTCATCGAGTAAAATATCAATGTAGTTGTGGATCATTTAAGTCATTATGTTATTTATATTTTTGTCGGCATTGTTTGAAAATAAAATGTAAAGATTGTGTTATACTTGAGGTAATTCTATTACTAAAAAATAAAATATAAAAAAGCATTCTAATTAGCAAAGTGATTTAACTAGAGGGAGGGCAAGGGTGGCGGCGCCCTCCCGGAGACCGATTTTGCCCTCCGGAAAATTGCAATTTTGTGCATATACTGTGTATTTTCCTTCCAGAAATTAGATTTTCGCCCTCCCGGAAATCGCTATCGCACTCTCGGAAGGAAAAATCTAGATAAAACACTGAATTGATAGCATCAATCTATGTATTGAAAGGTTTTAAGAACAAATCATTGAATATAAAATTCTATTAAGATTAATGAATTCGAAATTGAGAGGTTTTGTTGACTCAAACTTTGAAAGAGGGAGGGATCATCTCTCATCTGATTCACGACAGTCTTACCTAGGTAGTCAATGCTGTACCATAGTTCAAGCCAGATTGTTCAACCGAGGCTCAAACTTTTTAGAGGGAATCATTGCCCCTCCCCGATTCGCGACAACCCTGTTTATCATAGAACCAGTTCTGTTGATTTTATTGATGTTACATTTATTTTAACTCGTCCTTATACATATAAATACACACCAACTTATTTGTAGTTTTCAAATTTCACAGATGATCTAACTCTTGAACTCGAAATATTAATCTTTTAAAATCCTTTACTCTAGTTTTATTTGGAAAATTTAACTATATTGAATTTTAATAAAATGTCTTTCTAGGTCGATTGTCGCTTTTGTCCAAGTTGTTATGAACATCTTCAATCTCATGAAGCGATAACACGAAAAAATCGTTGTCAAAGTTGTTTCTCATGTCCATGTTGTAATCATACATTAGTAACACGTGCAACAAATACAACAGCAGCTGCATCACCCAGTTTAAATATAACACCTGATAGTACAACTACTGCTAGTCTTGATGTTGATGATACTATTAGTAGTAGTACTAATGTTAGTGGATTACAAACTCCATCAAAAAAAGTTTATTATTTAGCTTGTAGTGTTTGTCGATGGTCAACACGAGATATTCGTCTTGTTGATCAACCAACATTAAATTCATGGAAAGCACAAGATAATATACATGAAGGAAGATTTAATGAACTTCTTCAACATTATAAACAAATAGCTACACGTGAAAAACAAGAACGTGATAGAAAAAGATATTCAACTGTTAAATTACGTACATCAATGCCAACGACAGCCAATCGATCAACGTCATCATCTGATAAATATGGTTTATTAGCACCATTAACTCGTCGTGGTATACGTACAAGTGGAATTCTTAAAACTCCATCATTAACTGAATCAACAAATCCAGCAAATCCATCACCAAAATCTGCTGAAACAATCGAACAAATCGAAGCACTCGATGAAAATTTATTTTTAAATGATTCATTTGATTTTAATAAATTAACAACAATAACTCAACGTTTAAATTCAGTTGAAATTCAACCATTAACAATTGATCGTCTTTATCCATTAGCAAAAAATTTTACATCAAAACAATCCAAACGTTGTAAAGAATGTGATCATAATGTACTTAAACCCGAACCATCACCAAAATTAATTAAATTTAAATTACATCAAATGGCACTTTTTTTTATTCCTGAAGTAAGTCCATATGTTACAGTCGAGTTAAGTGAGCTCCAAATTTGAAGTGTACGAGTTTCAAGTTTTCGGCAACTTGTAACTTGTAACTAGTGGCGGCGCCAAAGGTGGGCTCAGCCCACCTTGAAAATTTTCTCAGATCTTAGAAAACCAATGATATTTTGTCTGAACCCATTCTCTATAAAGTTCATTACGCCTGAGCTCGTCTTAGTCTAAATTGCTGGCGCCGCTGCTACTTGTAACTATGTGCTTTTTTTCTTGAGCATCGCTAGTCGACTCAGCACAGTCCGGAGTATCTATTAGAGCAATCAAAAACAGATGATTACTGTGTTCAGGGAGAGTTTTTCGCGCAAAGTTAGACATCCGTGAACTCCAAATTTCGAGCACACTTAACTTGACCCATATTAGTAGCGGATTTAAGGGTGGGCAATGGGGCGGTCGTCCCCCCTTCAGAATTTTTTTTGACTTTTTATAGCAAAAATGAACAAAAAAATAGGTTCACACTACTTCGATTTGACGCAAAAATAGTTATTAGCCAAAATCGCCCCTCCCTGTCAAAATCCTAGATCCGCCACTGACCCATATGCACATATATAATATTTCAATTGAGTTAAAATATTCTCATATGATTAAATATGAAAATATTCTTTTCATAATATTTAGATACGTATTTGGTATCATCCAACATGGTCATTAAATGATAATAATTCATGTATTCTTTCGATTATAAATCAACTTGATGAACAAACCACATTAAAAATTTATACATTAGATGAAATACGTGAAGAAAATACTGATAAGGAATTAATTGGCCGAATAAATCAATTCGATGAAAATATTTTAACAAGTAAATTAATATTTCCATTAGAAAAAGAACGTTCAGTTCAATTACATGCCCATGTGGAACCAAATGAAACTGATACAAAAATTGATGATGAATTACGTCAGAATGATTCGAAAGATTTAGTTATTTATCGAAAATTTGCTAAAATAGCTATTCGATGTTTTATTAAAATAAAATCCAACAATGTCAAAACAGTTTTAGTTAGTTTTTTTTCTATCAAAAACTAATAATCATATTCTCTTTCATTTAGAGCGCATTTATTATTGAACATCGTGTTGTTGGTATATCACCAATAGTTAGTACACCAACACCAACAGGTCCTAATCCAATATCACAAAATGTTCGACATATTGTTTTTATTGATTTTGGTTCGATTGATGAACCAGCACTTCCTTTACACTCAGCATTAACATAAACTAAATTTTGCTTACGGTTCTTTTTTTAAACGGTGCAATGAATCTTTTTTCTTTCTTTTTACTGGTGGTTCGTTTTTTTTTAATGTACTTAAAAAGTGAGAAATAAAAAGGAATGGATTTAGGGTATATACACATATACTCACTTGTTTTTATTGTTTATCATAGAAATAATATTATGAAAATAGATATTATAATATTTCTCTTGATTATTAAACAATGTTTATCAATGAATTCTTATCATATTCAATTGGATGATACTGATTTAAATTCATGTGTTGAGAATAAAAATGTATTTAATATTCTTTCATTCAATCTTTGGTCAGATCATTTGGAAATGCCTGGTTATCTTGATGCTTCATTATCATTTCGTTTAACTCAAAATTATTCGACTGTACATTCAACTTATTCAATTCAATTTGAACGAAAAATTGGTCCTTTATGGATAAATATTCCTTGTATAACGGATTCATGTTCTGGACAATCATTATGTATACTTATTCAAAATTCCTGTGGTTCAATTAAATCTTGTAATAAAAATTGTCAATTATCAACTGGTAGTCATACATTAGAACATATTCGATTACCATTAAAAAATTCTTTTTTTGAACATAAAATATTCACAAAGGGACAATATAAATTTAAAATTCAAATTTATGATAATGCAAATACAATAGTAGGCTGTTTTACTGGCTATATAACACTTAAAATAAAAGAATAACTAATGTAGAAATACGAGAAAAAAAATAGATTTCTTTTGTTGTTATTTTTTCTGTGGAATATGTATTAATGATTTCATGATTGGTAATAATTCATTCACTTCTGCAGGTGTTAATACATTAAAAAAATTATGTGCCATATCTTTATGAAGAGTTTGCCAAGAAATAAAATGCATAACAAGTTTATTAAATATATCAATAGCTTCTCCATATCCATATTTTGCTTCTAAATATTTCCATAAAAGTTCCGTGTAAAAATTTTGTGCACGATATACAGCTATACCATCATCAAGAATAGGTTCAGATGAACCACTATTTGTTGAAAATCCTTTAGTCAGAACAAGTATAATAAGTGCTAATTGCATTATTCGTGGATCATTCTGTGAAATACCTACAAATGAGTCAAAAATTTTTTTAGCACGTTTACAAATATCTTCACCATGAACTCTTGATAGTATCGATGTGTCCCAAGGAGCATCAACTTCTGCTTCTCTAATTGTTGCAGTTTCTGTATTATATGAGAGTGTATAATTTAACATGGTAAGCGGCATTAGATTATATTTTATTAATGTAATTCGATCTTGAACATTTATTTCATTAAATTCAGGTACTTGTTTGAAGAAAGATATAAGTCTTAAAGCTGATACTGATCGGGAATTCACCTGTTCTAAGACAGTAGTTGCATATACGGAAGGGTCCCAAGGAAGGCCATCACGAGCCGCTAAATAAAAATAATTATTAATTAATAATAAGTCCTGTTCTTCCGCATATTCTTTATTAAAAACTTCCTGAAGTTGAAATTATTAAATGAGATATTTTAAGAATTTAAATAACTAAGAAAACATCGAATTAATGATGCGAATAAAAATAATAAATAAACTAAATGCTAGAATATTATGGTAGATTCTGGTGGGTAAACTACGTGTCGTACCACTCTTTCCGGATACCGGACTGCATGTCCGAGTGTTTGTAAATGAACTTTGTCTTTTAGAGATTTATGGCGGCAGTTCGAAAATATTTTTCCCTCAAATTGTTAAAGAAAAAGTAAATGAAACCCAAGAGGTGTAGATGACATGATCACAGTAATTTCGCTCACATCCAAACTCAAGATATTTTTTGAAATATACTAACCAAATTCAATACGTTGTTCATATGAGAGTTTAATAGTTTCTACCCGTTGTAAATCTTCTGGACTAAGCGGTGTTCGTGGTTCCAATGATGATTCATTTCGTAAAAGATCAGTAACATCTTTAGTAAAAAGAAGATTTGTATTTTCCAATGTTGCCACCTAAAAATACACCATTTTTTCTTTTTTTTTCGAAAAAAATAAGACTTACATGAGCACTATCTACAGTTTTTAATAGCTGAGGTTTTTCTTCCTTTATTTTCTGGTCAATTTTTGAAGATAATTTTTGAGGTTTTTCTTCCACTATTTCCTGATCAGTTTTTGAAAATAATTTTTGAGGTTTTTCTTCGATTATTTCCGGATCAATTTTTAAAGATAATTTATCATTATTGCTATTTATTTTTAATGTTGAATTCCGATTTTCTTCAATTTGACGAAGTTTTATTGCTTTTTGTTCAGACTAAATCAAATTTTTTTGAAACTAATATTTTATTCAACTTTTTTATTTAATAATTACTGTTAAAAGTCGATCACGTGTCATTCCATTTTTTAAACATTTTTGTAATCGACATCCTGCACAACGACGACGTGATTCTAATGTAACATCACAATCACTAGATCGACGACATTCAAATGTTTTCTATTTTATCAAAAAAAGGTAAATACATTTTTTTTCTATCATGTAAAAATTAAATATTCTTACTGGATCTTTAAGAGCATTTCGACGAAAGAAAGCTTTGCAACTTTCACATGATATTGCATCAAAATTATATCCATTTGCTGGTGAACCACAAACAACACATGTTAATAAACCTGTCTTTTGTTTTTTAGAATTTGTTGGTTGAACATCAGATGATTGTGTATTATTAATATTTGAATGAGAAAATTCAACATTATCACCATCTGAATCCAATATAATTGATTTAAGTAATGATCCATTACAATTAGCTTGAATTTGTTCAATAATACTTTCATCAGCAGTAATTATCATTATTCGACGTTTTTTCGAATTCGACGCTGATGACATTTCCGAAGTCATCGGAGAAATAAATAACTTGAGTTTTGTTTTTTAGAAAAAAAATCTCAAAAAATAAGAAAATCATGTATTTAAATTAGTCAACTATCTTTGTATTTTAGATTATAAAATTTAACTATTTTCACTCTCATAAAAAATACTTTTTTCTGTATATAATTACTAGTCATTACCTATACCGCTCTATTATTAATAAACGAAGACTTATATTAGAAAAAGCAGCAAAGGACGATAGGTCAAATAAAGTACGAACAAGGACATGATTATTGTATAAAATCATGTGTTTCTATCTCGTAAATATAAATTTTTCTGAATAGTAATGATTCATTGTTATCTTATTCTTGAAGCTTGAAAAAAAAATATTATAGCGAAATTTATTTATCTAAGTTTAATTTAAAGAAAAATCTACTTCCTTGTACCACCTAAATATTATTTTTGTCTTTGACCTGTCTGCAAAAATTAATGAAACTTACATAAATTACTATTATAAATGTACTATATATTCTTTGTAAGTGTATCGTCTTAAAAGTATTTTTATATAAAACAAAGGTAAGTTCGTCGCGTTCACGTGTAAGTAAAAGAAAGTGCGGCATAAAAGTGCGTTCGATAAGGACAGACATAAACAGAACAAGAAAATTTTTGTTATTATTTACCTTTGAAAAAAAAACAACGTTTTCTTTCTGGTTTATATCATCAATAAAATTTCACATTTTTTCTTTCTAGAATAGAAAGAATGTTTTTTATATTATTTAATGTAATTATCCTTGGATGTATTTTATACAAAATATCAGATTATTACGTACGTCGATATTTAGGTTTTAATTCTATTGATCATACACCTGTCTATACGCCAGGCTCATCACATGCGTCTGTATTAGTTTGTGTCCTTGGTTGGGGTGGTTGTACACGTCGACATTTACGACGTATACTTAATTTTTATTCATTACATGAAATTCCAACAGTATCATGGATTAATCCAATGTTTAATTATATATTTGGTGTTGATATGAAACAAATTGAACGTATACTTGATTTTCTTATTCATGAAAATCGTGATACAAAAAATATTATTATTCATCTTCATTCAAATAATGGTGCACTTGTTTGGAGTCATATGCTTCATACAATGAAAACTAATGAACATTATAATCAATTATTAATTAATATAAAAGGAGTTATTTTTGATTCTTCACCATATACACGTTTAAATAGTTCATCGGTATGGATTATTGCATCAGCTTTTATTATGTCTCGACCAAGTGTTAGTATTATACTTAATCGAGCACAATATTTTCATTGGCTTTGGACACCATTAGTTACTTATTATTTATCGTTACGATATTTGTATCGACGTTATTTTTCATCGGATCCATCAACCACTACAGATAAAATACTACGCATTGTTAGTTCAACACCAAAAGATGTTAAACAATTCTATTTATATAGTAATGCTGATCGTCTTGTTCCGCATACTGTTGTTGGTAAGTTTTTCTTTTCGATAATTTCTATTGATTTTTATGGAATTTCATAGAACAATATATGGCTGTACAAGTTGATCGTGGTGTTAATGTTACATCTCATCGATTTCTTGGTTCAGGACATGTGAATCATTTTCGTCTACATCCAGTTGAATATGGAAAACTAGTTTTAGATTTTATTGTAAATATAGAAAATGATAATGTGTCAGATAAATAAACAAAAATATAATTTTATAAAATAATACTCACATGTTTACAACACACATCAAATTTAACCTTAACCCTTCGTGGTTGTTGCGGGATCCACGCGGACCCATTTCACAGATTTTTATTCAAAAGTACATCGAGGGCTTCTGTGTTTGATCTATCCTTTTATATCATCACTAGTCCTATGTCGATCTATATCATTCTTAATTCAAATCACAGATAAGTCTAATAGATAAAAAACGGCGCTGTGGACCCCAGGACAACTTTACTCTTTTCAACATATTTTTTTCCTGCTAAAGCTGCGATTTGTTGATCTATAGCTATTTTTAAAATAATTTCTTTGATTCGTTACTAAGTTTACTATTATGTTGATAATTTTTAACGTCGTTCAGAAGTTCAAGTTTAACTTATGTTATTTTCTTACGATCCAAACTACATTTACTGCTTGTAATTTGTTTAAAAGTTTATCTATTTTTTGAAATATTTGCATTACTTCCAAGAGAACTAACTCATGAATCTTTATACAAGATGGGCCCAAGTGGACCCCACGACAGCCAGCAATCACAAAAATGAGGACAGCCACGAAGGGTTAACAGTAGTTTAATATTTAGATTAGAAAAATTCTGATTTAGATAATTGGTAGTTGAAAATTATTTTTATGTGTAATAACTTATCTAAAAAATAAGCTCGTTATGTTTCAAAATCAGTGTTTTATTCGGATGGGTGCCGCCTGTCTACTAGACAAAACAATGCTCAAAATGATCTTATATTACAACTTAGATTTTAACATCTGATTTATTTATTTCGATAATGATTATTAGCGACATCTGTTAATCGAAATCATGATAAGTTGTAGTAATTCTCGATGAATACATAGTGGAATCTACTACTACAAAATCGATTCATTTACATCTCTTATTAACTTTCGAAAATTTATCATGGATAAAAATCAAATAAACACTTGTTCGTCAGGAGAAAATGGTCATGAAGAAGATTTTGAATTTATGGGTGATACTCCAAAAGAAGATCCTGCTATTGCTGAAGTAGAAAATTTCGAATAAAAAGAAAATTTTCTTTGGAAAAAATTATTTATTTCAATTTCTAGCGTCGTCGTTTACGGCAAAATCAAATAACAAAAAAACTTGGTGAATATTTACTTAAAGGTTATTGTATGTTAAGTGATACTTGTTCAGATTGTGATGTATGTATTCATTGATTATCTTTCGTATTTTTATTATTTATTTTATAGTGTATTCTTCTTCGTACACCGGAAAAACAATTACTTTGTGTTGTTTGTAGTGAAATTGATGTTGATAAAAGTTAGTTTAAAAATAAACGTTCAGTTTATATTTATTTGTTTATTTTATAGAAAAACAACATCAGAATGAAAAAACGCCAGCAATGAAAAAGAATACAGATACTAGCAAAGCTTCTACGAAACACAAGGATAAAAAACAACGTAGTGGTGATAATCTTAGTGATTATAATAAACTTGAAAATAAACTTAAATGGGCTGTTGATGAAGTATGTTAAAAATATGATCGAATGTTTTTATTTCAAATTGTTTTTTAGTTAACAAAATCTCAAAGTCCAAATCGTATTAGTGATATGTGTGCAGTTATTATTAAATTAACCGAAACAATCAAAATACTCAAAGAACATGAATTAAGTTTAACACAACATTAAAAATAAAAATAAAATCTCACCGTTTTCTTTCTTTTTGATTTTATTGTTATGTTCTTTTTTTTTATTATCTCATATATAAACTTTGAAACAAAACTGTTATAGATATTAACACCATGGGACGCAAAACGGCAAAACATGTACCACGAAACCAGAAAAAATACTGGAGAAAAATTTCAACACAAGATATTGAAGATCGTTTAGAAGATGTTCGAGTACAAGAAATGACAGGGTATGCTTTATTCTAAAGATAATAATCGAATTAATACTGCTCAGAACTTATGAAATATGTAGAATAAAGAAATTTTTAAATTCATTTCTAGTGGTCGACGAGCTGATCAACCTGATCATGTTCTATATCATATTGATAATGAACTTCCACTTGGTGCTAAATCTCCATCGGCAGAAGAAACCGAATATACTGCACCAATTCTTCGTTCAACTGGTAAAAAACGTCAACAACTTGATTTAAATAATCTTAATACATATAAGATTTTACAACCACACAGTAGTGTACTACCACCAGCTGTAGAGTGAGTAGCAAAGGAAATTTTTTTACTTTACACATCGTACTCTATTTTAGTGCACGTCCAACAAAAAATCCATCATCAAAAAGAACAAAACGTCTTGTTGAAACACAAGAAATTGTTGAAACACGTCGTGCTGCTACAAAAAAATATCAAACTGCAATAAAACAACGTAGTGAAGCTTTTGAAAAAACTGCTTTAGACAAAGCTGGAAAAATTGAGCTTGACGATCCTCATGTTTCACAAGGATATGATCTATGGAATATGCGTGATGAAAAAAAAGGTTTTTTAAAATTCATTCGAATTTATTTTCATTAGCATTTTTCCTTTTTATAGAAAAAGTACGATCAGCTGTTGGTTCAGATATGGCATCATATATGGAACAAATCTATCAAACATACGATTGGAAAGTTCCTAAACATATTACAAAGAAACCAACGAAATTACCGGCGATTGAAACACCATTACCCGGTACATCGTATAATCCTACATTTGATGATCATCAAGTAAAAAAGAAAGTTGCTTTATTCATCTATTTACGAAATATTTTCATAGGGTTTACTTCAAAAAGCTGTTGAAGTTGAACTTGAAAAAGAACGAAAAGAATTGAAATTATTAAGAAATTTACCAAAACCGTTAACACAAAGTGCAGCTGAACCAATAAAAGTATGTTCACTATACATAATTTCTATCATTTTCGTTATTAAGCAAATTATTAATCTTATTTTATTTCTAGCAATCATATCTTAAAGAAATGTCTGCCGGTATATTTGATGATGATATTGAAAATGAACAAGCAAATGATAAGAATAGCTTCTTTGGTTTAAATTCTGTTAGTATTGGTAAACCTGTTACAGTTGATACAAAAACTGTTGCACAACGTAACAAAGAAAAACTTCGAAAGATAAAAGATGCTGAAGCGAAAGCAGCGAAAGAAAAACGTATTCAAGATAATAAATTTTTCCGGTAACTAATAAAAAAATTTGTAATTGAAATTAATTTATTTTTGTTAAGATTAAAATCTATTCGAAAAGAAATAACTAAAGAATCTCTTGAACAACAAGCACGAGATAAAAAACGAAAAATTGAATATGAAAATCGAGAAAAATTTGGTACAAAAAAATTTGGACGATATAAATTTGAAGATGCTGATTTGGATTTAAATTTATCTGAAGATATAACAGGAAATTTACGTACAATGAAGGTTAGAAATTTCAAGAAAATATTTTATTTATTTATTTATGAATTCAATTAGGCTGAAGGAAATCTACTTCATGATCGTTTTAAATCATTACAAAAACGAAATATTATTGAATCACGTATACGAGCAAAGTATATAAACATATCTATTTATTCCTTTTCCTTATTAACATTTTTCTATTCTTTTCTTAGACCAACAAAAACAAAAGTGAAAAGATACGAAAAACGATCTGTACGAGAAGTTGGGTATGTAAGATTTATATTCCAGAACCTTTGCATATATCTCACCACGAACCAATGAAGAAAATAGAAGTTGTGATTTTACAGGAGACCGGAACGATGAGCACAAGGATACTTAAGCACACAAGCATCTAAGTATGAGTGAGGGCGCTGACCCGGAAAAGATGACATCAATAGATTCATATTTGCCGTGACTTTCTTTGTTTTCATCGATATTATAGACCTAAACACACTCATGTGCTCATCGTTCACTGACCCTATTTTACAAGATGCGCCATGAAAAGGGGAGTGCAAATTTCGCACAGCGGTCGGCGATCCAACGACTGCCACCGCCTCACTGATTTTTCTAGGTTCACCACTGCTTTCGCAGTAAGCTTCCGGTAATCACCGGACATCTGCTGCGAACAGAATGTATCATTTAGAAATGATTAATCTTTTTCTGAATATCTAGTCGATTTAAATAACTTAATTTTGTTCTTTTTATTTTAGAGAAAAGTATCAACCAAAATAAATTTGTTTTGTTGTTCACTGTTTTCGAATGTTTTGATTCGTTTGAATAAATAAAAGAAAGAAATAAACTTACTATTATTGTATTATATTTCATATAAATCATCTAAATATAACATATAAATACATATTTTGTTTACAGATGTATCATTTAGGAAAATTTCTTACTCTATAACTTTATTAAATTATGGTTATTCTTCATCGTACATCTACTGCATATGTAGGATATCGTTTAATATTATGCCGATATAGACATCGACTTAATCATCCAGGTGTTCATATCCCACATGGTGTACAATATAAAACACCACATAATCTCCCTGATGAATATGCTGATCACCCACTTTATCCACCAATTCGACCAAAATATCCGCCAGGTTTGTCGATAGAACTCTTTCATTACTTATATATATATATTCAAATATTCTAGGTTCATGGGGTTCAATGGATCCTAAAAAAGCATGGATGCATTTTGAATTAGGTGAAAAACATTATCGACATTTAAAAAGTGTTAAAGAACGTTTAACAATTATGGCATATCAAAATATGATATGTTATTATGATAAATTAGATGTTGAACAAATAAATTCAAAATTAATATGGATGCTTACAGGTCGACCACGTTCACCACGTAGTTTACCATTTTATAAACATATTACACAAACACATGTCACTGATGAATTACCCAAATTTTATGAACAAATGGATGTTGAAAGTCTTTTAAATTATGTTAAACCAATATTAATTGATCGAATATTAACAGATGAATATGCACAAAAAGATGATATACCTTTAGAAGATATGTATGATAAAGGTGATTATAAAGTATCATCAATTATGAATGAGAAAAAACTTAAAATTGATCAACAACGTACAACAAATACATTAACAAAAATGATTCGAACTATTATCAATGTTCTTGCTGAACATAAACCACATTTAAGACAAGCACTTGTTAGTATATATTAAAGAAAATAATTTAATTTCTTGTAAATACAAACAGAGATTTCTGCTTGAATATCTTATTAATGCCTCATATTAGAACTTTAGTCAAATACTACCACTAAACTGAAGAATTAATATTATGGACAAATATAGATAAACTTCCTTTAGGACTATACTTCTTATTCATATTTATAGCTTAATTATAGTAGTAAAAATGACAGATAGACATCAAAATTCCGGGTCACCGAATCGAAGTTTCCGGCAGGTGCAGCCGACCTGCTAGGCAAAACATTGTCTGACATTTTAAGATACTAGTAAATATTTGCTTAAAGGGAAAAAAGACATGCGGTTGTATTTATTTTATTGTATAAAAAATCTCTAAGAAAAACAACTTTATTTTTGTAGGTTGGATCTGATGTACCAATTGAAGCTTGGTGGAGTTTAAATACAAATGGATCGAAATATGATCGAGCTAAATGGCATCATGATTCAGATACAACAAGTTTTCAATTTCGTGATAAAGCAGCTGTTCAAGTAAAAACAGATAAACCATTAAAAAGTGTAAATCAATAAATTTTCTATTAAAAAACAGAAAAAGATTTTCAATTTCTATAGATTGTCGATCCTAATAGTAGTTTATGTCAAACACCTGTACCTTTTTGTCCATATCAAGCACCCTCATTCAAAGTATTCACTGATCGATATTTACCAATGCAAATACCTGGTAAGAGAAAAACAACAACAATTAATCTTTAAGACCTATTTCATTTTCTTCGACAGGACATTGGCATGGTGAAGGACATGATTTTAATCTTCTATCAATTTATTCAATGGATTCAATTTATCAACATGATAGTTATTTTAATGAAGATGAATTATTACCTAGTTTAATGTCTTGGATAGTTAATGCTGGTCATGCTGAACTTTTAGCACAAGCTTATTATCTTGGTTTTTCAATGTGGAGAGAACCAACATATCCTTTAATAGCTCAAACAATTGTTAGTAATCGTCGTCAATGGATATTTGGTGTTTATCAATTAAATACTATAGCACATTTTAAACCACGTGATGCATATACAACATCAAATATATGTTGGGTATCACCAATAATGAAGTATTAAATTTTATTTGGAAAAAAACATCATTTCTATTTTGTTTTTGTTTTTAAATAGTCTTTACGAACGAATAGAAAATGGTGAATTAGTTAATTTTAATGATGATGTTCTTCGTCATTTATTACGTTTTATATTAAATGAACCAGTCGAACAACCTGATTGGAATTTAAGACCATATGTTGATGATCTAACAAATTTAGATGAACGTTATAAAAAATTTATTCGAAATCTTTATGAAGTTGTTAAACTTGAAAAACAAGATAGTAGAGAACATCATCGATGGGCTAGAGTACATCATGATACAACTGTATTTAATCGTCGTTATGCTATGATGACAACATTATTTAAAGACATTGTTTTTGATAATTATCCACGAGAATGGTATGGAAGAACATTAGAAAAAATTGAACGAAAAAAGAATATGCCGTTGTTTAAAGAATATGATCTACTTTTGCCTGTTACTCGTTAGGTTATTGATAATAAACATACAAAAAAAACATAAAGATCAATTCTTTCACGATGAAACTAAAATATGATATTTACATATAAAACATCAACATAAATCGAATTGATATCATACACAAAGTTATAATTAAACATGACCCACACTCAAATTCAAACCGTTTTTTTAGTTTGGGTTTGGGTATTGAGTTTGAGTTTGGGTCTTCTTTTAATTGCCATCAATGTATCCAAAATAGTGTCTTCTACAGATTAAAAAAGCACAAACCCAAACTCAAACGCAATATCCAAACTCGAACCTAAACTCACCAAACTCAAACAGTGTGGGTCATGTCTAGTTATAATACGAATCTTTATTTTATATATAGATCTACGCGTATGTAGATAATATTCTTTTGCTAGTCAAATATAAAGATGATTAAATTGACAATTGTTTTTCAAAGATAAAGAAAATTTCATATAAAAATCCAGTGACATATTTTATTTTAGACAGAGTGACATAAAGATGATACTAATTATATATTTTTCAATTATCTAAAAATGTTCGTCAATCATAAAAAAAGAATTATCAAACGTTTTCAAAATTATAATGAATACCTAGAAAGATCTAATGCAATTTTATTCTTTGCTAATTGATTTGACACTCTAAGCTGATATATAGGGCGAAAGAAACAATTCTATGTCACACTTTTTTTTAAAGATGAAACATTTGCTTATCATTATCATTAATCAAGAAAAGTCA